GTCACGATTGCAATTGATTAATTACATCTTTGCATTGCATCGCACGATTGTAGTTGATTAATTACATCTTTGCATTTGCATCGCATGCATATCATATAGGTACGATGATGGATCAACGGATCGATTGAAGGATGATTGGGAATCCGAAGATGATGCAATGGGCTTGTTATTCAACTGATGGTGGATGATCTGAAGATGCAGATACTAACTTTTGAATATATTTTACCCAGGCAAGCCTCGGTGTATAACCCCTACTTTCTGCAGTTTAAATTATATTTGTGCATTAAGTTTTAAGGAGTTGGATGAAACCCACTTGCATAAATATATCTTTGTCCTATGAATCTTACTAGTATGACAGGATCGTGTAGAATGCTATGCTACAGGACTCCGATAGAAGTCGAGTGATTGCCTGTCACTCGCGAGCTATATGAAATATGTTACTATATCATTATCACTTGAAAATATAAATGGTGGAAATGAAAAATGATGACCATGCAGGGATATGGTCTGGATATTGGTGGGTGTAAGAGGTTGTGTCGCCGTGGACACGGGGCATGGCTTGGTTACACTGTTTTTCCTGTCTGTGTCGATTAAGGACCGATCGTTGCATATGACTCTAGGCAGGTCACAGACTTATTATCCCAAGCACATATTTGTGTATGGGCGCTTGGAAGACTTATTGCTCTCTTGTTGCGGATCCGGCTCTTTCCGGACCGACTATCAGGGTTTTATTTTGGTGGAGCAGGTCCTTGCACCGCACTGAGTCCGGGACTCAGGGGCGGGAGCTTGGAGTCTCAGTTTGGACAGGGACCTGGACACCCAGGACAGGAGAGTGATGGGTTGGTCCTGCTTGTGCCTGGGGTACAAGCGGGACGTGTGTTTTCAGGGTACCCAGCTGGGGGCATTGATTCGTGAATTGCCGGACGATCCGGTACGGCTTGTCTACGGTTTAGCATCGTAGTAAGAACTGAAGATGAAATATGGAAGATGAAAAAGGAAATCTGATTGCTTACCACTTGCTTGAAAGTAGTACAGGTGTTTACATAGGATGGTTAGTTAATGAACCAATACGGCTATTAATAAAAATCCAATATAAGGACGCACGCTTAGTAATGCTTCCTGCAAATGCAATAAACCCACAAGCCAGAGAGCCTTGCATATCCTTGGAGTCTTTTCTTTTCTCCCGTCGGGTAAGTCTTGCTGAGTACAATTGAGTACTCAGGGTTTTATTCCTCCTGTTGCAGGTGACAGGTGGAGGCTAAAGCTGACCCTTGTGTGTGGATTCCTCCTGGTGGACTCAGCGATGATTTCCTTTACGCTGCGATCGTAGTTGTTATTTATAACTCTCATTAAATACTTTTATAAATGAAAGTTTAATAACCTGATGTCGTAGTTTATATATCAATACTTCATCATGTCATTAATAGATGTTTAATTCCGCTGTAACTCTGCTCACATGTTTGTATTCCGCTGTTCAATTAAATCGTTTATAACTCTGATAATATGATTTCATTCCGCTGTTATGTTAATAATTATTATACTCTGATGTTGTATTAAAAGTGATGTAAGAAATGATTCAGAATGATGTAAACTTTATTCTCTTATTTGTGATCCTGATGGCAAAAATGTGGATTTTCGGGTTCTCCCCTGGGGTGTGCCGACGGAACCGAGTAATTTAGTATTCTCCTTTGGGTGCTTAGTGTCTAATGGAAGACAAGCACTTCTGGAAGGCATTAGATTAGGCGGTTCTGTCACATTTCTTAACCTTTCAAATCGCCTGATTTTCTTGAATAGCATAAAGTTAGATCTCTGGATCTAATATGAGGCGTAGATCTTAAAATTGGTTGGGTATATTGTTGTAAGCCTCTAAAAACCTCAGTGTGGTAGTACACGCTCTAAAAAGAAACATTAGTTAATATAAACTAGCAATAATGTTTTAATAATGGTACAAACAAAAAAATCATGTGTGCAAGCCATAAAACAATTGATTTTTTGCCACATATATTCACAATCATAAAACATAAATCTTGATGTAGACCTTAGATACTAAAATTTATGTGCAACCCTCTAAAATAACAAGGTGTCATGTGATGATGTAAATAAACCAACGCTATCTGAGGTATAAACAAAGAATTCATGTGTTGTTGGCTATAAAACGAACTTATATTTTTTTTGCCACATGTACTCACCATGATCAAGTGCAAGTCTTGGAAAGGTGACATTTAGTTTTTTTTCCATACGGTAAAGTATGCTTTTCAAGCTTCAAGTTGCACGTTAGTCTAATTTTGAACCCTAAACTACAAAATAAAAAATTTTGGTCCTCTTGCTGGTTTCATAGGAGGGTTTATTTTTTTAAAAATTAAAAAAAACAATAAAAATATAGTTTGATCTCTTAAATTTATAATCAATTTATTTTAAATCAAAAAAATGTGAAAGTACTATCAATTTTTTTCTAAAATGTTGTCTACCTATTTATGATCTTTATATAGTTTATGAAATTGGTCTATTTCTGTTTTTTTTGCTTTATTGCTTGTAGTCGTGCTCAATATTTATTTAAAACAAATAAGATCAAAATAAATTTAAATATTCAGCAGATAGGTACTCCCTTCGTCCTTAAATAAATCAACTTATAGAGTTGTCCAAAGTCAGACTTTTGTAAGTTTGATCAATGTTGTAGAAAAAATATTAATATTTATGACACTAAATAAATACATTGAAAATATATTACATGGTGTATCTAATGATACTAACTGCATGTCATAAATATTGACACTATTTTTTTTATAAATTCAATCAAACTTACAAAAGTTTGACTTAGGAGAACTCTAGAAGTTGATTTATTCGGGGGATGTAGGTTGTAACATGTTTAGAAGAAAACTATAACTAATTTCATATTTTCCTGATTTAGAATAAATTAATTGTGAATTTTTAAAGATTAAATCAGCGAAAGGGTCAAATTTATCCAATTTCAATAGTTGGAGGGTGTTAGCTATCCCGTTTTGTAGGTGAAGGTTGAAATTTAGACTTACGTGCAATGTGAAGCTTGAAAAATGTACTTTTACATTTTTTCATATGTAAGTGTTTGGCCATGGGCCATAGCTTGCTACTTCATTTATCTTAAAAATGTATTAAAAGTGTGGTTCGAAAGTACTGTGTCTACTGGAAATGTTTTCAGAAGTTTTTATCGCATTGCAGCTGTAGTGAAGCTGTTGCTCTATTTACATGTGTACGCAGAAGCACTAACCTGTTCACAGCTAACGCAACTCAATTTCTTCTGAATAAAGAGTGGAAAGAAATAGTGACAGTGGGAATGTTGTGTTTTCAGTATTTCGAGGTATATCTGTAACAGGTGGTTTAGTGAAACACTAGAATTTTTGCCGTGAATAATCCAGTGCCATGTCTTCTCATTATATAGTGTCACCAAACGTAAGTTACAGCAGGAATAATGATAGTGGTGATGGTACACCTTCCATCTTCTAGCACTAGCCACTAGGCTTTGAAGGCAGGTTAATACAGCCCACTAGACTATGTAATCAACATGCACGTCAACATTCCCCCTCAATCTCGACTAATAGAAACTAAGTTGAGATTGGTCCTGACTCCTGAGTCGTTCTAGCATCAGCTTTGTCGATGGCTTGGTGAAAGCATCTGCTACCTGGTCTTCAGATGAAATGAATCGAACATCAAGTGCTCCTTGTGCTACCTTCTCTCTGACAAAATGAAAATCAACTTCGATGTGCTTTGTCCGTGCATGAAACACCGGATTAGCAGTGAGGTATGTGGCACCGAGGTTATCACACCACAGCACCGGTGGTCGAGGCTGAGGAATATCAAGTTCACGAAGAAGAGACTGTATCCATATTGCCTCGGCTGTACCATTTGCCAATGCCTTATATTCAGCTCCAGTGGATGATCGCGACACCGTGGGTTGCTTCCGAGAACTCCACGAAATCAAATTAGGGCCAAAGAAAAGAGCATAGCCTGAAGTAGAACGCCGGTCGTCTGCACTACCTGCCCAATCAGCATCAGTAAAAACACTGAGCAACATCGAGGGGGATTTTCTGATGCGTAACCCTGTAATGACTGTGCCCTTAACATATCGCAAAATTCTCTTCACAGCTTCCCAGTGCACCGTTGTTGGCTTTGAAGGCAGGTTAATACAGCCCACTAGACTATGTGATTAACATGCACGTTAACAGGTTTGAATAAAACTTGAAATGAAATGGATCAATTTCTAGTCTTATCAGAGGGTGTTTAAATCCAGGAAATAAAGTTTAAGGTGTCACATCGAGTGTTCGGATAGTAATAATGTCTCCAGTAATCCACGAGACGAATTTATTGGCCCCGTTCGCTGGTCTGAAACTTGGCTGAAACGGGCTGAAAACACTGTTCTGGCTGAATTGTTGTGAGAGAAAAACACTGTTCCGGCTGAAAAAAGAAGCCGAACAAGCTGAATATGGGGTAAGCCGAACAGGGCCATTAAGGCTAATCAATCCGCCATTAACACATGCGTACCGTAGCACTACATTGTCAAATCATAGACTAATTAAGCTTAAAAAATTCGTCTCGCAAATATATGCATTTAGTTTTATAATTAATCTATATTTAATACTTCATACGTAAGTCCAAACATTCAATGTGACCGGACCAAGACTTTTGCCCGAGCTAAACAAACACAGCCAGTCGAGTAGTCCAACTAGTTTCTTGGATTGCCGAGCAAAAGATGCAGTTACTGACAGGATTCAGTCCGAAAGAAACAGGGACATTTTTCAGGTATACATTTAGCCAGTCGCTTGACTGCAGTTCACAATTACAGTGTGCTAAGTTCAGGATAAATCTCGATCCACAAAACACAAATTCAAAATCAGGATTCAGAAGTACTGCTAGATTCGAGATTGAGCATTTGTCCTTCTCTTGCAATATGAATCAAAATCACTAATTGTGCGAATCTTTTTCGCTGAACAACTCACCAGGTCCGGGCAAACAAAGCGAAAGGTACCTCAACAGCGCCTGACGAATTCGGCCACGACGGCGAGCTCCTTGACGGCGTTGTCGCTGCCGTGTTTAGGCAAGAAGAAGACGTGCGCCTCGCCCTTGGTCTCGTAGAACTCGAGCTCCCCCTCCCAGCCGCACTTCTTGATCCCCTCTGCGTACGCCCTTGCCCTCTCCACGAACCAGCACTGCTCCGCCGTGGTCACCAGCACGCGGTGCGACCCGAGCTGCCTCCACTCCTCCGGCGATGCCAGTGGGTTGACGTAGGTGTGATCGAGGTCGAACTTTCCGCCGCAGATGAATTCCCATGTGGGGTCGAACATTGCGCGGTAGCCGGGATCCGTAGGCTCCGCGCCCAGCGGCTCCTTCCCCCAGAAGTAAGGGTGCAGGAGGACGATGCCGCTGACCATGTCGCCGTAACCCTCGATGCCCCCTTCCTTACGCAGCCTTATCGCCACGTTGTGCGCCATGTTACCGCCGGCGCTGTCCCCCGCAAGGACGATGGGAGGCGTCGCCGTGCGCAGCGAGCCAGGGCTCAGCCTCCGCCTCGGTGTCATCCGCGCGACACGCGGCGATGACCGCCTTAAGGGCCGCGAACGCGTCGTCGTAGGCGGCGGGGATGCGGTGCTCGGGCGCTAGGCGGTAGTCAACGGAGACGACGACGGCGGGCGCCGCGGCAGCGAGGGAGGCGGTGTAGATGTGGTAGAGCGGGGAGGCGGTGGTGTGGACCATGAACGCACCGCCGTGGAAGAACACGACGACGGGGAGCTTCTTCCCGGCGGCGGCGGAGCTAGAGAATTTTGGAGGGGAGGTGCGGCTTATAGGCTAACGATAAATCAATAATGTAATTTACCAGTACCATAGCCATGATAATTTAAAACAAACAATAATGATGTACATCAACAATGATGTAGCGGTAATAGTGTATTTGTGCTTACCGTTTATCAAAATATAGTTAGAGAACCCCATAATTATAACAACAAAAGATTGTTGGTGTTAGCAAAAATAGAATTCCCAACCACGAAATCCTCATTGACCTAAAGAAAAAGAAATAAACCATTTATTTATAAACAAAGAATCTAAAGATTGTATCGTTGAAAAATTGAAAAGAGATGCATTACCTCTCATCGATCAAATCTACACACTTTTCCTTCCATGTTCATGAAACGATGAACCACGACATCATTTGTAACTTTCTTTAATTCTTCTTTCTCCACATAGCAAATAAGTCTATTACTCAAGTGTATATCACCGATGCGGTTACTAAGAGATGTTTTAACAATCTTCATCCCTGAAAATAATCTCTCCACTGTTGCAGTAGCAATTGGCAATACCAGCACAAGTTTTAAAAGTCGATAAACTAATGGATAGCAGCGATCTTTTCTTGTCTCCACCATTTTTTTGTGAAAGCTCACTGATACTATTTATGTTGGAGAATCGATTGTCTTCTCTCACATCAGCAATGTAGAGGCCAAGATAGTGGCTAAGATCCCTCAAATATGTAGAGCTAAAATCATCGGGATATAATTTTGCTAGGTTTAGCATACTCTCTACATTAAAATCATGAAATGAATCTCTTAGATTGAAAGCAGCTGAACAAACAAGCAATTGAGAGCTTATCTCATTAAAGTGTCTATCAAGCTCTTAAATAAACCAATCTATAACCTCATTAAAACAATCCACTTCATAGTGATGCTTGTTTGTAATTCCAGATGACTTTCTAGATTTTTTGGGATCAATATATGCATCTTCCATTTCTATCCTTGCAATATCATGCATCTCACAAAACTCGTTTACTTCATCTAATAAGTTGCCCCAACCATCTCTTCTAAGCTTACACAAATGCAATCTAGTTGATTTCAAACACTTCATAGCATTCACAATGTCTTGATCCTTGCATTGCAATGCTAATGACAAAGTGTTTGTAATGGTTAATGTGGTCAATAAGAGATGCAGGTAAAACACAAAGCCAAAAGATTGGAAGTAGACTAGAAGGTTTGATGCTTGGTCTCTATTTTTTCAATCTCTATCATCCTTTTCCATAAATTGTAGCACCTGAACAATTGTAGAAAATATGTTGACTAGACTTTTTAGAGTTTTATAATGGGAACTCCAACGAGTATCTCTAGGTCTTTGAAGACATTGTTCTTGATTTAATCATCTCCCAGTTTCTAGCTGCCCACACCCTAAAGCCTTTGTCACTTGTTCATGATTTATATCCCTAATCATGTCTCTTCTCTTAGCTAATCCACCCACCACATTCAATAAGCTATGAATCATGGTTAAGAAATTGCTAATACCCTTATGCTTTCTCACAACAGCCACAGTAACTAACTGAAGTTGGTGAGCAAAACAATAAACATAATATGCTGATCTACTTTCTCTCATAATTAACGATTGTAGCCCATTGAACTCACCTCGCATATTGCTAGCACAATCATATCCTTGGTCTCTAACTTGTTTTAAGCTCAGCTTAAATTTAGCAAGTAAAAAATCAATAGATGACTTGAGACATGAAGAAGAAGTTTCAATTACATGCATAAGGCCAACAAACCTCTCTTTCACAATTCCGCATTTGTCAACATACCTCAAGACCACTGCCATTTGTTCTTTACAGGAAACATCCCTTGACTCATCAACTAGCAAGCAAAACACATCATCCCCAAGTTCTTCAAGAATAGATTGTAGGATTTCTTTTGCAAAGCACTCTACAATATCCGTCTGGATTTCATGAGCCACCATACAACTATTACCAGCAAGACCCACTGCCTTCCCCAAATTAGGATCACGCTCTGCTAAGCAATCAAAAACCTCCAAAAAATTCTCTTTGTTGAAAGACCCCTTCGACTCATCATGGCCACAAAAAGGCAAGCCATGCTTCAATAGTAGCCTAGCGGTATCAATGGGTCCATTCAATCTAGTAAAATAAGTCATCTTAGATACTTCACTCTGCTAATGCAAAACAACATCTATGTGTTGATTTCTCTATAACAAATCATCACACATCTTCATAGCAATAAAGCGTGATCCATCAACATTGTCGACATGTATCTTTAGCCTCTCTTTTCTATGATAACCATTCCAACCCTCAACAACAAATGCTTTATATCCTACACCCTTCTTTTCTCTGAACAAGAAACAACAAAAATAATATGCTCTATTTTTTGATTCACTATATTCAAGCCAACTTCCGAACTCATCAAACCATTCTGACTGAAACCTTCTTGGATTGTCTTTTTCCCCAATCTGTGTAGAGGAAAAATTGCATGTGCGTGGTTGGCATGGCCCATTCTCCAAATATTTCCATCTCACCCTCTCTCTAAGATTAGGATGGTAAGAATTAATATTCTTTCTTAAGCCTAGGTCATATTTGATTTCCTCTTCCCAGTTAATATCATCTGGACGACTGTCTGGTGCTTTTCTTTTGAAAAACCTTTCCATTTTTTTCCTAGCATCCACAAGAATACTTAAATTTTAGTTACTTTGATTGTTTTCATAAATACCAAATATCACAAAAAGAACAAAAAATCCTAACCCTAGAATCTAGACAAATTGCCACAAAATTGAAATCACTCGATGACGAGATTGATGGAAACTAAAACTATAAAAGAATGGAGAATATTTGAACTTGCTTACTTTGTAAAAGATGAACATAGAAGAGGAGAGTGAAGAGAGGTGGGTGGAGTGCGCTACTGCTGCCTCCTGCGGTCCCGGTCCTACCTGTTGTGCGGTGCGCTCGGCGCTCGAGTGCGGCGCTCCTGGTGGCTGTTGCAGACTGCCGCCGTGCCGCGGTCGTCGGCTACTCGGCTAGCCGGCCACCCGCCATGACGCCATCACTCCATCAGAGAAGCTGAGAAGGTGGAGGGGAATGGGAGAGACGGCTGCGGGAGAGGAGGCGTGCAGTCGAAGACTCGCGACGTGAACGAAGCGTTACTGGCTTCCAGCGTGCGTGTGGACGGCCGGCCAGGAAGTCTGGAACTGATGTTGGGCTGCCTATTTCGATTGTGGGCTCTCATAACCTGGGCTGTGGGTGCAAGTATTTGGGCCAAGTGGGTGCGAATACAGTAAAAATTTGTATACTACAAAGAAAATCGTATTTCGACGTGGGTGCGGCCGCACCTAGTCGCGACAACATGGATCCGCCCGTGCTTCCCGGGATCCACTCCGGCAGGGAGGTAGAGGCGGGCGGAGATGCCAGCGGCGGGGTCGAGGACGACATCCTTGGACGCGACGCCATTGGCGGGATCGCTGTCGGGGGACGGCGGGACGGTCTCGGTGCCGTCGAAGCGCTCGACGCGGCCGGTCTTGTACATGCGCAAGACGCCGGGCATCTCGAACTCAAGCTCGGAGTCGGGGTCCATGGTGGCGTGGGGACTAAGGAGCCTGTGGATTGGGAACCGGACGAGCAGAGCGGCTAGCAAAGCGATGAGAAGACCCGCACAGAGCACCCGACACGACAGTTCGGGCATTCTGCCCGTTTCTTTCTGGTTGATAGCGAGAAGCCGAGAGATCTGGATTCTTGAAGAGACTTTTCCCTGTGTGCCATTATCAAAGATCGAAATCCCCTATGTGCCCCTGGAAAAATTCAGCGGTCTTCAGCGCCACTACTCCAATTTTTTTGGGTCCTCCATGCCACTTCCGTCAGTTCAGGCTCTAACGCCGTCAAACTGCAGGTGTGAAAAGACGAAAATGCCCTTAAGTTCAAATATGTTATTAATTTTTTTGAGCATCTTAACGGCTTCAAATGAAAAAACTCAAAACTAAAAAGTTGTAGATCTCGTCGAGATCTATAATTTTTATATAAAATTTATTTTCATTTAATTTCACAAAAAAATATGATGATTTTTCTAAGATATATTAATCATATCAAATCATATTTTTTGTGAAATTAAATGAAAATAAATTTTATATGAAAATTATAGATCTCGACAAGATCTACAACTTTCTAGTTTTGAGTTTTTTCATTTGAAGTCGTTAAGATGCTCAAAAAAATTAATAACGTATTTGAACTTAAGGGCATTTTCGTCTTTTCACACCTGCAGTTTGACGGCGTTAGAGCCTGAACTGACGGAAGTGGCATGGAGGACCCGAAAAAGTTGAAGCAGTGGCGCTGAAGACAGCTGAATTTTTCCAATGGCACACAGGGGATTTCGATCTTTTATAATAGCACACAGGGAAAAGTCTCATTCTTGAATACTGGATGAACGATCTGGAGATCTGCTGTGCCCTTTGATTGGATGTGCATATATTTATCACAATCCACGTGTGTTGAAGTGAATTAGGGTGGAATTAAATTAAATTTCGTTCCATTCCACCTAACACATGTAGATTGAAACAGATACACATGCAAACAAGACCCATGGTGGGAATTGGGACCGGATGCCATTGGCTGCGTTTGGATCCATCCAAACTTCCATAAGCCGGTAGAAGCAGGTTCATCACTATCAGCTTAGATAAAAAAACTACTCAATTCCAATAATAATTTTAAACCAAGCGTTTCAGCTCTACAAAATTCAAATCAACAGAAAAACATGAATCAAGGGCTTAGATCCATGAAAGGTTCATGGATTTTATAAAGTTGCTCCAGAGATACTTTAAAGCACGTGTTTGCGACTTAGGCCCTGTTCGGCTGGCTAGAAAAACGGCTGATGCTGATACTAATTTGTTGTGAGAGAAAACACTGTTATTTCGCTGAAACGGTACGGCTGATAAATTCAAGCGAACAGGGCCTTACTCATTGAGTTATGTGGTAATTATCCACCATGTCATAGATTACATATCATGCTCACCTCGTACCTGTTAATTCTTTTCTGACCGTCCCCTTCCCTGCACTCCCGAGATTCTCATGGCGCTGCAACATATTTGAAGGACCGTGACATTGTTTACATGTATATGGATGCCCAGCTTGCAGATGGTGAGACAATGGGCCTCAAATCATATTATTACATTCTCAACAATATATCCAGGGCCACTATTTGCCTAAAGATAGTTGATGGCAAAGTTGTTAGGAAAATGAAGGGTACTAAGAACATCATACGACCTCAAGGGAATGTGCACCCTGTTCGCTGGTTGGTTTTTAGGCTGGTTTGAGCTGGCTGGTGCTGGTTTATTGTGAGAGGAAAACACTGTTGGCTGACTGGTTTGGGCTGACTGAAACCAACCAGCGAATAGGCTGAATAGTAATTTGGCGATATGTTTCTGTAGAACATTCCCTTTGTGATTTTGAGTTTTCACTAACCTCCCGAACTGCTGAATAGGTTCGGGAGTTTCGAACAAATCTTCAAAACTTTTCAGAGTTTTGCTAATCCGCTCCTTATAGTGTTATAAGAATTTCTTAGTGTTATAAGAATTTCTTAGATACGCCTATTCACCCCCTCTAAGCGTCTTTGATCCTTTCAAGAGGTGGAGGATAACTGGATTGACCATTCCAACATTCATTAGATTGTCGGAGCTGTTCCACCAACAGTTTAGCAGAGCCATGGCTACTTGAGTTGCAGTGACATGAGAGCGTCGTGAGAAGAAAAACATCGCATAAGGGAGAGAGGAGGGGTCAAACGAAATAGAAACGAACAGGTGCGAAGAGATATATGCGTAATCAGTGATATTGGTGCGTACTTTTTCTTCCAAAACTCCTTACAATTTGGAATTGAGGGTGTAGATCAAGAGGATTTGGAGAATGACATTTGACTAGTCTGCTAGAAATTGTTGAGAGATGAAAAATCCTATGGAGTGGATAACAAAATGGAGATGTGGAGATTCGAGAGTGGAATTTTGTATGGTGTGCTTGAGATGCTCTTACTCTGATCCATGGCTAACAATCATCGTCCAGGATTTGCTTCAATTTCGGTCACTGAACAGAAGCGTCTCCTTTATTGTTCTAAAGAAAATCAAGGGCGGGTATCGTTACATATCGGATGACATGTACTCCTACCGTCCCCAAAATAAGTGCACTCGAAAGACGGTCGATTCTGAATTTCTGAGCCTGTCACTGCGGCAGCACAAAATTCTACGGAGTACCACAATTCTGAAGAAGTATACAGTGAAAATCTGTTCTAATGATTGTCCAAGGACAGCTGCACGAGTGGGTGTTGTTTCCACTCCCCTCCACCTTGTGTTGCGGGCGATCCACGAGGATCACCAGCATCATGACCACCGAACAAAAGTCTCGTCACATTCCCACTCCCGTCACCACTCGAATCTACAGACTTGCGAGCCCCGGCAACCGCAGCATCATCCCCCTCTTCTTCACATTCCTACTCCCGTCATCACTCGCATGTACAGATTTGCGAGCCCCCGCAAGGCCACAACCGCAGCATCATCCCCAGACGCAACCTTGCAATTTTGTAGAGTATTCTACAGTCCGTAGCAGCAGAAGATGAGAGACCAGTAGTAGTCGTTTGTTCAATCGTCTGCAGGGGTCCCAAATCTCGCTTGTTTTCTCCTATACCAGCTTACTCTTCCAATCCCTGTCAGGGTAGTTAGTCTTGAGCTGGTGGGATCATGGTTGCCAAGACGAGGCGACAGCTCGCCAAGCTCGCGCTGCTTCTCCTCGCCCTGCTCCTCCTCCTCGCCGCCATCTTGCTGTGCGTCTTCTTGATCCCGCGCCACCACAGGAGGCCGCTGCCCCCTGCCTCGCCGCCGGGGAACGCGTCGAACCCCGACGACAGCATCGTGGCGTTTGACTTCTCCCCGTACCTCATCATGTACAAGAGCGGACGCGTGCACCGGCTGGACGGCACCGCCCGGTGCTCGGCCGGCGTCGATGAGGCCACGGGGGTGACCTCCAAGGACGTGGTGCTCGACAGCGGCACTGGGCTCGCGGCACGGATGTACCTGCCCCCGGCGCTCGGCAGCAGGCGGCGGCACCCGGTGCTGGTGTTCTACCATGGCGGCGCGTTCGTGATCGAGTCGGCGTTCACGCCGCTGTACCACGCGTACCTGAACGGGGTGGCGGCGAAGGCGCGCGTGGTGGCGGTGTCCGTGGAGTACCGCCTGGCGCCGGAGCACCGGCTGCCGACGGCGTACGACGACTCGTGGCGGGCGCTCAACTGGGTGGCCAGGAACGCCGCGTCCGGGCCGGAGCCGTGGCTGCGGGACCGGGGCAACCTGTCCCGGCTCTTCGTCGCCGGGGACAGCGCCGGCGCCAACATCGCGCACAACATGGCCATGCGCGCGGGCACGGAGGTGCTGGACGGCGGCGCGGCCATCACGGGCCTCCTGCTCTTGGACCCTTACTTCTGGGGGAAGCAGCCGGTGGCCGGGGAGACGACGGACCCGGCGCGGCGGCGCCAGTACGAGGCGACGTGGTCGTTCATCTGCGGCGGGCGGTACGGCATCGACGACCCGCGGGTGGACCCGCTGTCGATGCCGGCGTCACAGTGGCAGAAGCTGGCGTGCTCGCGCGTGGCGGTCACGTCGTCGGGCATGGACGACTTCCGGCCGCGCGGCCTGGCGTACGCGGCGGCGCTCAACGGCAGCGGGTGGGACGGGGAGATCGAGCAGTACGAGACGCCCGGCGAGCGGCACGTCTACTTCCTTGATAGGCCCAAGGACCCCAACTCCATCAAGGAGCTGGCCTTCGTCACCGGCTTCCTGACTCGGGAGTAGGTAGATAGCCATCACGGCGAGCCGGCGAGGGCGTACAACAGTAGGTGCAATGCAATCGTGGGGATTGCTGACTGCGGTACATGATTAATTAATACTAGAGATTATTATTATTGCTAGCACCACCGTAGCATGTTCTTTTTGTTTTTTTTGTGTTTGGATCTTGATAGGGTTCTCGAGATGTGGTGATAATTTGGGTGATGGCGAGCACGGTGAATCTGGGGATGATGGTAGCTTAGTCCATGTTTAGATTGTAAAAAATTTCAATCCAATGAGTAGTAGCATTTTCGTCTTATTTGATAAATATTGTTCAATCGTGGACCAACTAAGCTCAAAAGATTCATCTCGTGATTTCTAACTAAACTATGTAATTAGTTATTTTTTTTATCTATATTTAATGCTCCATACAAACGGTTAAAAATTGATGTGATGAGAGAGAGTGAAAAAACTTAGAATTTTGAGGGTATCTAAACAAGGCCTTATTACCTCTGACATCGTGAGGAAAGCTGCCTGTCATCAGTACTACGAGTACTACATAGGACTCGTTTTCAGTTTAAGAAAACCTCGCACTGGATCCAACACTTCGGTTGTTCGGCAATCTCTATAGAAGACTCAAGATGCAAAATGAACTGCGTCGGCTGTTCTGTTTTCAGCCCGTTGATGATTGACATCTTAAATTAAGATTTTTTGTTTTAAAGGTTCCTTTTGAAACAAAACATCTCATCAGACGATTGTGTATTAGCTCGGATTACGATTTGCTAAACGCGATCTCACTGTGTTCGGGCCATTTTTTTTTGAGTCGTTTCGCTGAAATTTGGCTCATGCTGGGCGACTGTGTTCGGTTTTCAGGTGCAAATGATGCGACGGGTTGGTACTTGGTAGCTCCCCACAGCTTGCGGTAGCGGAAGACGGCAACGGCACGGGCTCTTCTACTATACACTTTAATTGCAAGGTGCCTTCCCTTCACGGATTACGACCATGCCATCTCGCGCTAGCAGGACATTAGGCGTCGAAAATGGACAACTATCCAGTCGAGCAAAAGTACCGCAGGACGATGACATTTCACCCACCGCGAAGGAGCTTTTTCCATTTTTTTTCCTTTTCCTTTTAAAAGTGGTATTGCCTGTCTGATAGAAGGATAGATCGATTCGAGTCAAGGGATGAAGCCATACCGCAATGACGACAGGGACACCACTCCCATCCACAAATCGCCGTGATAAGACGCTGCACGCACGTCTACTACGGCTTCAGTTTCTGGCTACTACTGCGTCTCCGTGAGTTGCGAGTCTTGTGACGAGGCAATGATTGGCGAACGGGTGCAAGAATGAATACGTCACCAATGTCTCAACAATTGTACGTACGTGTCCAATTAACAATTGTTCGTCAAATGTTCACAAAACACCATGGCGATCCTAACATTATATTCTCCTCCGATCTGCACCACCAATAACAAGAAGAATCCAGCCGCACCTAGTCCACAATTTTCAGGCAAATCCGGCGCAAATCATAGAGCAAATGCAAACATCGATGAGCAATGCATTCGTGAGGAAATGGCTTCACTGGTTAGCAAACCCGACGATGCGTCGTCTTGCGCGCCGGAGTCGGCGCCACGCGAAGTCGACGAGGTGCAAGCAGTGCCCATGCCCGGCCAGCCACCTCGAGCACCTCAACCACGTACACCCGTGGGACCTCAGGCCTTAGGGAAGCTCTATTATATGAGCAAGTCCACTTACAGACTCCAGTCATGTGAGCAAGTTAGATCCTCACTTCCACGTTCTTGACATGTCTTTTTTGTATGTTTAATGTTAAGCTAAACACAACTTGTGAGGTAATTTATATAAAACTTTTGTGTCCTCATTTTTCTATTATTGTCTTTTTGATAGAATAATTTGTAGGACATATTCATATATGGCTTTTTTAGTAATGAAATAAGGTAGCTCAGCTAGTTTGGTTCTTTATATTGGAAGCTGGCAACACAAGTCAGCTAGTTTGGTTCTTTATATTGGAAGCTGGCAACACAAGTTTAAATCCTTGACGTGGATGCCAGTGTCGTCTTTATTAAATTTAGGATTTAACGTTATTATTCTTTCAGTGGTACAATTGGACGCGAGTACTAGTATTTTCTAGGATATACTCACTCCGTTTCAAATTATAAGACGTTGTGGCTTTTCTACATACGTTGCATTTGCTATGTACATAGATATACGCTATGTCTATATACATAGTGTCGGGTTCATAAACCCGGGGTCCTCAATGAACCCGCTTTCCTGTAAAAACTCGGCCCAGCAAGACGGCGTAGCAACAATGCGCGCTTCCTGGGCCGGCCTAGTTACGTAATGGCAGGCAGGGGCAACGATCCGGTCCCCGACCGGAAGGCCTGGCCAAGGTGGGGACATAGTCCGACTCCGACCTCTTTTCCGTCCGGGAGTACGCCCCCTGAAGGTCTAGTGATCAGTATACTTTGTTGGTGAGGTACTCACCGACGCCAAGGTTCGATACCCCCAGGTTCAGAAGCTTCTAATGCCGTGCTGATGGCGACCCAGAAGCTCCTGCACTACTTCACCGACCATGAGGTCAAGGTCGTCACCTCGTACCCGCTCGGAGACATCGTCTACAATCGCGACGCCGTGGGACAGATCTCTAAGTCTGCTCTCGAGCTCATGGGCCATGACATCTGGTATATCCTTCACACCGCTATTAAGTCTCAGGCTCTCGTCGACTTCATCGCCGAATGGACGGAAGTTCAGCTCCTAGCCCCAGACGTCACCCACGAGTATTGGACAATGTACTTCGATGGGTCGGTCATGGCGCTCGGCTCAGGGGCTAGAGTGGTTCTGATCTCTCTGGATGGGAGCAGGTTCCGCTACATGATCCGTCTAAATTTCTCAGTCTCAAACAATGCTGTGGAGTACGAGGCCCTCATCAATGGATTGTGCATCGTCGTCGAGCTCGGCACCACGCGACTATATGTTCACGGTGACTTAGAGTTGGTCGTCGACCAAGTCATGAAGGAGTCCTCTTGCAAGAGCCCTCTCATGGCGGCATACTGCTAGGAGGTGCGCAGGCTCGAGGACAAATTCCGAGGGATCGAACTACATCATGTCCTCGAAAGGACAATGAGGCCGCTAATTTCCTCACAAAATTGGCGGCCTGGCGGGCTCTGCCTCTAGATGGGGTCTTCATCAATGATCTCCATGAGTCATCTGCCCGCGTTCTTGTGGCAGAACCTCTTAAATTATAGGGCCCACATGCATCTATCACTGTCCAACGACCTCTGATGACTATGCATATGTTCCTGGTAACTTAAGAAGACTGTCGGGTGTCCTCGGAGAACCCCGAATCATCCATAATTTCTGAGTAGGATCACATTACAGAGTCATTGCAGTATTACAACATTTATTCAAATATCTATACCAGAGTAAATTAGCGGAAGTCTTATAATAACATAGTTTTCAAACCATTTGTTTCAAACCATACAACTAAGTTCGATAAATAATACAAACCAAAGTAGTGGAGTGACATTATAACATATTACAGAACACACAAATAAGCTGCCCTGCCCAAGAGCCACACATTTACTTATCGTCATCACATGGAACAACAGTCATGCAGCACGATCCAAAACAGATCTGCTCATGAGCCTCACCTGTAACAAGGGTCAACGAACCCTGAGTACAAAAGTACTCAACAAGACTTAACCGAAATAAGAATTAATAGAACGCAGGAATGCAGACTCAGGGGATTCAAGGTATGGCTTTAGCAATAATCAAAGTCCTTTTACGTAAAAGCTTTTTAACAAAATTCTTATATCAACATTTAAAACTTCATAAGATCATAGACAAAGCTGACACGATCCGTATTGAGATCATGAAACTTCATAACCAACAGCTTTACAAACCATCCTCAAGTTTCAGTTATTTATCTACGATGATGAACAGAGAAGTGAGTCTCCATAACCGAGGAGCAACGACGATTCGAACCGAATAAAAACCCAACTGGGAATTCCAGACCACACGACATATGTGGGTCCCCGACTTACATATATCAACCTACCCTTGGATCCTCTAAAACAAGAACAGGTCCGCGCCACCCGAGAATACAGTACTCCACCAATCCAGCCCATTGCCACGTGGGTACACTCTATTCCCGCCATCTCTCCACTCCCAGTGCGCGAGTAGCCATTCTCATAATAGAATAGCCAAGTTAAGGCTTACCGAAGTATGTGGTTAGTACTACAAAGTCTCACCGCACACAATTCAACAACGGTACGGGCCTTAATCGACACAGGCGGAAATAACCCGCTCACAAGACCTCTATGTCTTGTGGCTCACACACACTGAGTCCGCCCGGTCTAGATTTATTACTCCACATGCTCATATCACATGATAACATAAGTAACCAAAGTTCCATTTAAGACTTGCAGGTGACAGGTAATCACCCGACTTTCATCGTTCTAAGCATAGCTAAGCATAACTAGGCATATACGAATTAAAACTGGTAATATGGTAGATATGGAAAAACAAGGTTAGTGATGCATCAATTAGGTTTTCACTTAACTCTTAATGACTTAATGCAGTAAAGAAAAGCAAAAGCGAAATCAATTTGTAAAACACAAGGTAGGTTTGAATGCATCTGGGGCTTGCCTTCATTGATGGAAAAGTTCGGTTCAGGAGTCGCACCATAATTATCTAACCCGACCTCAACAGACGGATTAACCTCCTCAACCACTTGATTAACTACCACATTTTCACCTTCGTTCACTACACGTAGTAACAATGCCATGTTTAACATGATGCGAGATACAAAATATGATGCTCGATGATGGATGCAAAAGTTAACAACTTGAATACAACTTTCATTCGCGGTACAGTTACAAGTCAAACTAACTAAACCTTTTCGTACGCCTAATTCAATTGCCAAGGATCCTTACGAACTAATGACCCAAGGACATCACTCAATCAAAAATTCAAACAAAACCTAAATCACTAAAGGTTACTATTTGC